TCTCTAAAATCTGTTTTACTATCAACTATCAGGACTGTGCTTATGTAATATCATAAGGAAATATCGTGGGATTGCTCGTTCCAATGATTTCCAAATGCTTCAGACATTTCTGTGGTTTGCTGCTTAAGTTTTTTTCCTCTGTCAAATCTTACTGTCTTATGCAACTTACTTCTAGGTCATTTTAACTGTATCCTGGAGCTTGCAAGAATAGGTTCTCAAGCTGGGTGTCCATTAGTTGGAAAATTCTGTCAAACTATTGTTCTTTTTGCTACAGAGGGGAAAAATGATCCATTAGAATTACAAATATATGAGAGATTTAAGGGCTATTATTTAAATACAAAATAAGTATAAAAACGTATTTAGGACCAAAATTGTTCTTTTATGATGGTTATAGATGTTCTTGTATTCTGTTGGTTTTTATAATCTTGACTGTAATAAGAGAGTGCTAACTGCTATTTCAGCTTTCCAGACCCTCTGTAAGTCAATGTAGGGCAATGCAAGAATTCTTAAGGAAAGCTTATGGATAAAAAAATCAGCATTTTATGCATACTGAACTTGAGTCACCTGGTTAAAACAATAGTAAAACTGTTAATAAAACGTATTTTTGGATTCCAAAGTCCAGTGATGCGTGGAGTGGGTGTTAAAGTCTACATATATATGCTGTTCATATTTTAACATTGCTTTTAAAAATGTTAATAAAGTTCTGAAATTTTACGCGTGTGTGTTAATGGTAGCTGATATGACTATAGTTTAAATAAGCCTTAATGGTCAAACATTTTTGTATATTTTGAGAAGACATGTTTTTCAGGTGCTTTATCCCCTAACTAATGAAGAAACAGGATGTATCATCGACCTGATACACTGCTAACTAACCTTTAAGTTTCTATTTCACAATCCTGCAGTGTTGCTTATTTCAATATTACTTCTCTTTGTCTTGCAGCTTTAGGTGATAAAATTGTGAGAGACATCCGACCAGGAGCTGCCTTTGAACCCACGTATATTTATAGACTCTTGACAGTTATCAAGTCAAGTCTTTCAGAAAAGGTGTGATTTACAAATCTCTAAGACTTTTGTAATTGTATCTCAAGGCAGCTACTTTTTAGAACAACTTAAAAGCCATAAAAGTTCTGTGCCTAAATACCACTAACTTCAGTTGGTTTATTGTTTGTTATAATAAACAGCCTTTGAACTAGAAAATTGCAATTATGCTGTGTTCGTCATGACAGTTTTGGCAGTTTAATGTCGGAACACTGATAAAAATACGATTGCAATAGAACAGCAGTATATAGTCTTTTTGTAGAGAATATATTGTACTAATTTACATTTAAACTGAGAAGTGAGCAATTGTTTGCTTTTGATTGGGATTCAGCTTGAGATAGTTGGAGGTCCACAAAGACTTGAAAATAATAGTCCAGGTTTAGTTTTAGTTGAACTAAATCCAAACAAAAGATGTTTTGAACCATTATCTGTTTTTCAACTTCAGTTTTAAATTGTGTTTTGTTTTTTTTTTTAAATGCCAATTTAGTGGCTTGCATGTTATATTCAGTCTGTGCTGAGAAAAATGATCATTAAAAATGCTCAAAATACAGGTCAAGCTTATGTATGTATGTGTTGCCATGGTTGATTAGCAATTAATGTATTTGTTCTCTTTGAAATTGTTATAAATGGGCTGTTGCTAAAGTAAAATCTAGACTCTATTCGACTTTCCGTCTAAGCCTCTGACTACTTTGTAAATTTATAGAAAAACCACAGGTTCAGTGTCTTATCTACTCTTGAAAGTATGAAAATGTCATATAATTACTGAAAAAATATTTTATTCAGGGCAGACAAGAGGATGCTGAAGAATATTTGGGATTTATCCTCAATGGACTTCATGAAGAAATGCTGACCTTAAAGAAACTTCTCTCTCCACATAATGAAAGTTAGTTTTCTGTAGCCAACTTAATTCCTTTCGAATATTTATAAAGTTTTATTTTTCTCATTTTATGATATTCTGTAGTATAAAGTAGTGTTTCCAATCAGTGTTGAGACAAGGACAGAATACCACCTTTTAGAGGACTCAAGAAGGACATTAAAATAATATTTTGTTAAAATTTGGCCAGAGGGTAAAATGAGTCAGTTCCTTCCAAGTTTACAACTTATCTCCGGACAAGGACAGAATACCACCTTTTAGAGACTCAAGAAGGACATTAAAATAATACTTTGTTAAAATTTGGCCAGAAGGTAAAATGAGTCAATTCCTTCCAAGTTTACAACTTATCTCCAGTGTTAAAGCACCCTTCCTAAAAGAACTTTTAAAACAAAAACCCCTTCAGTCTTAAGCATACATATGTTTCTCTACCATTCAGATCTCCAGTGGTGATTGTTTACTGGAGCTCTCTGTAACAGTTCAAAATATATCAGTATAGTTTGTCACTGATCTTTAAACAGCTGTCGAGTAAGCTGTTCTGAATAGCAGAGCCTTAGGCTAATGGCTAATTTATCCAACTTAAAATAGAACATACAAATTAATTTTGAAAGTGTCTTACTGACAAAGGTGGAGACATCCAGAACAAGAACTACTGGGATTTGCAAGCAGCCTAAAAATGTCATTTTACAGGGCCTTTCTGTTCGGGCATCCTACTAAAAATGAACTAAAATACTTTTAGTCTTATTCAAGTATAGAACAAAGAACACTAATTATCCAACTTCTCTTTAGCGGGGTATTTTTTTTATGGTATAATGTGATTATTCCATATTTTGTTCCTTAATTATGTTCATTATATGGCCTGCTGACTTTGGCAATCATAAAGAAAATGCTTGCTAATCTTTGCTTTCCCTATGAAATATTGATGTAGAAAGAGTCATATTTAATGATGGCATAATTATTCCTCTAGAATAACATATGACTTTCCAGTTTTCTACCCTGTAAATTTAGTGATTAAAAATATATGAAATTTTGTGTGACAAAAGTTTATTTGTTAACACAGCTCACTGATGACTAAATGTAATGTTTATAAATATATCTCCAGTTGTGAGTATTGCTGGAGCATTAACAGCTTCTTTTGAGCCTTCAGAAAACTTTGTAACCTCTGAAAACATTTTATCCTCTGAAAATTCGTGGTTTTTTAATTCTTTGAAGTTCTTCCTGTGCACATGTTTTAGATATAAAAATCAGTATGTGTTCTTTCCCTTCTTGCCTTTAAGAACTCTCAGTTTCCAATGGTCCTGAGGCACAGACTGTTCATGAAGAGGAGGAGCAAGATGAACAAGGGGAAGGCAGTGAGGATGAATGGGAGCAAGTGGGACCTCGCAACAAATCATCAGTCACTCGACAGGCTGACTTTGTCCAGACTCCAATTACTGATATTTTTGGGGGTCATATAAGGTACAGTACTACTTAGTAAAAGCTGTCGAGATTGTGGGTTGCACTGCCTTCACAGATAACATTTTTCTGCTTTATTGGCTGTCTTTTACCATTGAGTAGGAGAAAATTTTACGTGGTAGTTTCTGAGCACGTGAGGTTAGTGTCCTGCCAGGAAGCCCTGCCACTGAAGAGAGGTTTCAGAAGATGGAGAGCATGGGCAGAAAGCACTCTCTGGTTTATTTTGTAGGCTGAATCTTTCTGAGATTGAGAACAAAACTCCTCTGTTTGAGATTTGTGTGTTTTGCCTGTTGATATTTAAGAATTCTGAAGAACTTTATAGCTCAGGGTTCTGAACTCATTTTATATATAATGATACTAATGGATAGTGAGATTTTGCAAGAACTGAATCCAGTTAGTAAAATTAAGGCACACTTCACAGGAGCAGGAAACCCATCATAGTTCATAAGTAGAATGTTAAAGATGAAAGAAGTTAGTTTGGAAAAATATAAATCAGTACAAGCTGTTACAGGAATGAAAGGAATGTGGGACCATACTTATATTCTGGCTTGATACCAGAGGAGTGCAGAAAGTAGGCACTGGAAGAAGAGACACTAGGGGAAAACAAATTTCAAAACAAAAAGGTAGAACTGGAGAATTATTTTTAAAGGGCAGGCATTTTAATTGCTCGTATCTGACTCCTTGTGTTGCCAGGTGTTCAGGCTACAGGTGTGAATAATGCAGGCTAGTGCCTTCTGCCTGTGAAGTGCACTGGAATTATTCTTCAGGGATTTCAGTGAGCTGGGAAATGACATTATATCTTTCCACAGAAATTGGCAGATGGATATTTGTATGTATTGATGCAATGCCATGTTGAGAGTATGTTCACGTAGCCAGAGAACTTAATGTGTTTATCAGAGGTGATTAGATTGGCATAAGATTCCATTAGTTTGCTAGATAAGCTTGATAAAGAATATTTAGAAGACAGTGTTCTGTAGAAAATGACCAAAAATGAAGCAAATTGGAGGTTATACTGAAGAAGGGAAAAACTTGCACTGAGCAGCAGAGCCACAGGGCCCCATCCCACATCTGCTGCCACCACACCCATTTTTTCAGCCTCCAAACTAGGTCACACATTTTACTGCAGAAACAGTATCCCATGTTGAGCCCTTGGAAAGCTTCCTCCTCCGAGGCTGAGGGTGGGGATAGGAAGGACTGAATGCAGAATTGCAAGTGGAAGCCCCCCAAATGGAAGAATCAGCAACAGAAGAATCATATAAAAAAACTGTAAGAGTGTGGGTTGAATCGTCCTGGTTTTAAATGTCCATTACCTGCCTGTTTAGGCATAATTGCCTGAATGTTTGTAATTTTTTTTTTAATTGAGACTTATATCTGAACACGT